TTTCTTGATTATCTTACCTCAGACTGGGGCAAATGCCCTTGGCTGTGTATGCGTCGTGTTTTAACATCTACGTCACTTTTTGCAGGAGTACGTTGGATTCCATCCTCACCTTCTTGCACCGCCGATGAAGTGTTCTCTGGGATTGCGTGAACCAACTCAGCGCTGCTTACTAGTAATGGTTTGGACCTGCATTTACCACTAAAGGATCATCATGGCTGAAGGGCTTTTGCGACCGACCAGTCATCAATATGCCCACCAACATGGAGGAAAGTCAGTAGGTTTATTTTCTTCCCAACCCTCGGAAATTATTTTTGTTGGGTCAAAATAGGTTTGACCCAAATCGCATCAAGATTAAGTATCCTCTACAAGCTCTTTACTTAAAAGCGGGACCAAAAGGACTCAAAATTAAACGAATGCAGAGCATTTCTAGCAGTTAAGCATAGACGGGAAGCATTCTTGGAATTCACCTACACAAGTGGGACAGGAATTTTAAAGAGGTTATCCGAAGTGTGCGTCCAACTTTGCGCGCCAAAGACTAAAATATACCCCTATACTTCTTTGAATCTACTGAATGTAGTTATGGAGGTGGATCAGCGGATTTGACGCATTTTTTAGTAGTTCGGCGGATACAGCAATAAAGTGCGAAGGACGATCTATGAGCCTAATTCGTTACATGACCTTAACAAAAACATCCTCTCTCGTGCAACCAAAAAATACTCACCAATGGCCACTAGCTTGAAGTCTCCAACACCTTATGTGGTCAGCTCTGAAGCCACATCCACGAATGGCTCCTACACTCTACTGGAGACAACGAGCACAGCATGCAAGTCCGCAACAGCACGTTAAAGTAAACCATTTGTTACATATGAAAAAGTAGTAAAGCATCATAAGACAGGGACTATCGAAGTAGATAAAATTTTAGGGGGCGCGGTCTCATCTACCCCTTCTACAGAAAACAACTAGATGTTGTATGAGACACCTCGCAACTGAGTGTTACAGAAGGGCAAACAGCCTTCTTTCTGCAACCGGGGATGCGGCTGACATACCTCGACGCAAAGCACCTTACGAACCGGTCTGCCCCCACACCACAAACGCGACAGCAAAGGCGGCAGCGCCGCAGTACCTGCAATCGCAACTCCACGGTCCGGGGCAGATACGACTCCACCACAGGCGTTCTACAAAATAGTCAAAGTCTAGCCACATTTGAAACCACGGAGAGTGCAGTTTCCTTAATCACCTCCCTCAACCAATGGCCACACAAGGCTTCAGGCAGAAAATCAAGGCCGCACTGTCCCAACTGCTGACCTAGAACTACACTCCAATTGATATCAGCAACATTTCATTTGACACTAATCTAAAGTCTGCTGATTCATTTGCAAACCACTACCTCGTTAGCCTGTAATGTGCTACTTCACAACCGTCATCCTTCCAAAAGCTCACAATCAAACGGTCGTAGGCTGTAAGTTCGCCAATCCACGAGCCCATTGAGCAGCGCAAGCAGTCAACAACAAATTCAATTGACTTCATGACTACAAAATACCTTACTTCTGGCTACGGGCCAAGCACCTTTCATGACGTTTAATTAAGCGCGTTCCAAACAATGTTTTAACCATCATTAGGTGGCATAATTACCATCTCAGTAATCCACTTACAAAGAGCCAAGTTACTCCAAAAATACTGCAGATGCTAAGTGCAGAAGACTTTTGGGACCCCCTTTACTCGCCATCGGAGGGAATGATGCCATTCACGGATGGTTGGAAAGACTCAGTGTGTTCACCTCCCAAAATTGAGAGACAGCATAGGGGAGGCAGCGCAATCTGTTTTTCCTCAGTTCAGTATTCCTCAGCTCCTTTGCTTTGTGCAAGACGGCTGCTGGAAATGCGCACAGACGGTTGTCTAAATACGATAATGAAGGAGTCAGTCCCGCATGCGGTATCACTAACAGCTACCTGAACCCATAAATATTGGCAGATTTTACACGACTCTGGTTGCCTATTATAAGTAAACTATCCAAATTTTCTAGATTCCAAAAGTCCTCCGGAAGCCGAGCAATTTTGTTCCCCTACAAATCCAAGTAACGAAGAATGTTAGCTAGAGAGGAGTTCCTCAAAACACTTGGCCAGGTTACCATCAGATTCAACCTCAGAGAGAGGTAAGTCAAAGGTAAAGATTCTCTAGGGGCCTTTGGAACTGATGACATTGGGTTTTTCTCCAGACACAACACAGACAAATTTGTTAATTGTAATGTATGATTGTCAAATACTCGAACGCCTACATTTCTTACATGCAAACTCGTAAGGTGAAGTAGAAACGGTTCATTGTTGGGTTAATTTCTTCGGTTTTCAGTAACAAGCTCTCTAACGTCCGGTGTCTACAAACTGTACGTTACTGTGGTGACAAACCCTGGGGACTCCACCATTCGAACCTACCAAGGCTCTTACGTCAACGTCTTCTCGATTCTTCACAGCATGGAGAAAGTGACACAGTCGGTGCGCCAAATCCAGACTAACCTGACATGCAGTGACTCGGAAGTAGCAGTGCTCTACCTTAGAAAAGACGACACGTAGTTTGGGTTTGGACAAGCAAATGGTGAATTTTCCCTCGCTCACTGACGTTGCATCAACGTCGACGATGTTCCCCTTAAGCTAAACTAATTAACAATGGAAACTCAACGTCCATTTACTCCATGGACATGATAAAGTCATACGAAGAGCCGAGCCATGGACAGTAACATCGGTTCTTCTGGATCTCCTGCCTTTTCAACACAATGACGTTGATGGATAGCAAATTGTTTCGCAATATCATGAGGAAATAATAAACATCGCATACACCACCTTAGTGAAACATAATTTTAACAAAAATGGGTGCATTTTCGAAGCAACTAGCGGCCTCGGATAGTAAAGTTGAAATTAAAAGATAAAACTCTTTTTCAAACGAAAATCATGGCATTAAACGCAATTTTTGGAACACAATTTTGTTTGAATCCACATTTTAGGTAAGAGGCGTTCAATGAAGATGAATTTCATTGGGGGAGCGTCGTCATTGATCCCCGAGGAGGATGAGGAGGAAGCGAGCTCTGAATGTGTGTAACCGCAGTTACTACGCCCTGTTCATAATATTACCATTAAAGAATGCCTCTACCTAGTCGATCGCCTCTTTCGGAGGTAATGAAATTCATGAAGAATTAGGTAAACGCTGATCCCATCTCACTGGTGGCAATATTGGCGGGACTCCCGACTTTCAAGGGCGACATGAATTTCGAAAATTGCTAAATACTGCAAAATTTAGCCTCTGGTTCTACCCTCATCACTGAGAAACCATCCAAATCCCATGTGCTCTCCCCTAAAATCTCCTCTAGCAGGTATTAGCCCAGATGTCTAGTTAAAGAATGCTGAGATTCTTTACCCCAACTTGACATTGACCAGGCAGAACAGGCACTCGCCAGCGATTTCTTCCGTCTCCGTCAAAAAAATGGACAAAAACCCTTCTATTTCTAGTGGGCTAAGCCTTCTGCGGCTCATCTCCTACCAGGATGGCTGGATGCATGACAATCCAGTTTAGACACGAATATTAAATCTCTTAGCAAGATGGTCACGACCGCAACCAAGACGTGTTGGGAGTTACTTTTGATCACGTGCTACAAAAACCGCAACTAGCGCCCGAGCCCAACATCCTTATATCGAGGTCCTCCACTTCTTAGCCCAAAACTAGGCTAGCCTTCCTTTTCCCAATCCTGCTTGCTCTCAGAAGGCTCCCGCTCAATTCTATAAGTACCAGGCAAACTAGGACTTCCATACAGCTCCCCTTTTGACTTTGATGTGGCTAGACTGATAACAAATCGCAAGATTAGGGTCGCTTCACTGTATAGCAGATTTCGTTTAGCAGAAGGATAGGAAATGGTGGTAGAAGGGAAGACGTCGTTAAAGGTCAGCGTAAGCAAGGAAACCTGGGTAGTGGAAGTCATTATATTTTTAAAACAGACTTGAACGTGACTGTTGGGGCTGATTGTCTACGGAACACAAAGGTTGTATGGAATTTTGTAAAGAGTGCCTTCTTCACTCACTAGGGCACTGAAGCCAAAACGGCCCTTTCGCTACCGAAGAAAGACGTCGATGAAATTTGCAATACCCTCTTCGAGGCTGTAGCCGCACTTGTGAACAACTTAGATGACTTTAAGTCGCCTACAACGAAAATAGGACTTTGGGAGCTGCTAATTAAGTACTCGAGTATATTCCTAGGCAGAGTGTTAAGCTAAGACGAACAAGTAAAGTGAATCATACAATAGACACCAGTAAAGCAAGGCCCATCTGTCAGCCACCTAGAAGCATACTACTTCCCCTGCTAGAGGAAGTAAACCGTCTGGTAGGTGGAAAGATTGGAGACTATGTCATGATCTCATCAAAGTCACCATCGCCCTGTTCAATTGCTTTGGTAAAGAAAGACGGAAAGCTACGGCTGTGCGTCGACCATAGGATGCTGAGCGCTGTAGTAAAGAAATGAGCCTTGTATTACACCTTATGAACTATTTTTAGACCTCCTTCAGGGGTCAAATAGCTTCTTTACTCTTGACTTAAAATTGGGATTCTAGCAAGTGCAGGTGGCAAAAAAAGGATGGTCAAACGACAGCTTTGTGGAAGTAACGACCTCGTCCAGCAAGGCAGCTAAACGGATATAACAGGAATGGTCAAAACTTTCTTAAAAAATTGAGGTTTTATGGTACTAAAAATTTGTTAAGCCTCCTAGGGACCTAGTGATCCCTGACATATTAGTAAAAACGGTTCTTTAAGAGGTACACGAGTAAAGGCGACATATGGGAGCAAAGATGCTAGATGCCTCAAGCAAAATATATTGGGGGACTATTCTTAACCCAGACCTGTACGACTTCTGCTGAACTGCATTGCTTGCAGTGGCTCCAAAAGGCTTCACTTCACGGCGATCGCACCACTCCAAAATGTACTCACAGGTTTTTCAGAGGAAAGGATAGATATTGCCATCATGGGTCCCCTATCACCCGCCAAGAGAGGAAACCGATATATACTGGTCGTGTTGCACTACTTCACGAAAGTAGCCGATACAGAACCTAAGAAGATGCACGATGATGAAACAATGGCTTCGTTTTTCTTCAACCGCCAGATTCACTAACAAAATGGAGCATAGTGATCAAGGCGCTACTTTCGAGAGCCGACTATTTACTGAACTACTCAAGAACTTCGGAATTCCCAAGACAAGCATGACACCTGGACATCTGCAAGGTCATAGATAGGTGGAAAGTTCGTATAACACTCTAATTGGATTACTGAAGGATTTCACCAAAGATGCGCAACCGACGGACTGAGATTTAAGCTTAGGACGAGTCCTCCTCGCCTACTGGGCAACGGTTTGCACATGAAACGGCGTTTCACATTTCGAGATGCTCATGGGTCGCGAAATGAGAGTGTCTTCCTGTATACCCTTGCTAAAGACGGAAGTAGAAACTGGCAAAGTCCTATAGTAGGCACCGCGACTGGAAGAAGATATAAACCAAATTTCAACCTCGTGCATAAACACTGACAAGTGTCATGTATCAGGCAGAAGAAATATAGTGGCAAACGGAGAAGAGGACCTACTACAGCTATTCAGCTCAATTCTACCGCCTGGCGTACGCTGCAAATTTCTTCATCTGTGAAGCATAGATGCACGCTGTGATTAAAGGAAACGAAAGCCAAGGCGAAGGAGGTAAATACAGAGTCTGTCGCTATGTTTCATGTTAGAATAAAATTAGGAGTTACTTTAATGCAAGTTTTTAGTTTATTAACGGCCAGTGCTACCAACTAGTTTTCTCCTTTTGTTTTCTTTAGAATATCACGGCTTTCAAATACTTAACAAGTGTGTACTTTTGACTGAGTAACGGATAAAAAGCTAACGGTGGATGTCTTTGAAAGCGGCCCTCATTAGAAACCATTCGGAGGTTGAAAGAAAAACACCGAAAATGCTACATTGATGGTAGCATCGGCAGACCATGATGCACAGAGGTATCAAGTACCCCAGGTTCAACTTCTGCCTCTTCTTCCAACGACAATAACAAAACAGTTGCAACGCGTACTTTTTCAGAGTCAGAATAACTCCTGACCGGAGACAGATTTGGAGGAATACTGCGACACATTGGCCATTTGGCAGATGAACAAAGGAGTGGGAGGACGATGAGGAAGAAGGGAGTAATCGACAAGAAGCGACAAGGTTCAAGACACGCATCGTCGTCCAGTTAAAAACACAGAGTTGTTTCACACATTGCGGTTGAGAGACCCTACAGTACGGTCACAATCTCTCCCAACTCAAGGAGTTGGTAAAGTTGACAGTGGAGAGGGGTCAGGAGTTAGCTACAGTACCACGCTACAACAACAGCAGCGGCCAATCATGCCCAGTACCATTCTACCGAGGTTGTCCGTATTACAGCCCAAAATTCGAGGGGACCTCACCGAATTGAAGGCCATTCATACAATTCACCCATCCACTTCGTTTGATTCAGATCATTAGTCAATCTCAGCGCTCCCTTGATTCTTTAACAAAAGGTTCAAGTTGGTCTATAATCTAAAAGGTTACGATCCGTAGAGGAAAGTGTGATGACAGTAGGCTGGAAAATATCGTTACGCGTCACCATAGACGCGGCAGCCTAACGTGAAAAGTGAAGACCCTCATATGCCCACAATTGACCTCGGGAAATAATTTACGGTACCTAATTTCTAAGTTCTAACCAATCTGTTCCCAATTCGGCAGAAGGCAACTGCAGGACACTAAAGCTACAGTAACTCCTCCGTCGACGAAAACACGCGCGGATAGTATCAGCAAGACCGTTCTTCACAATTAGCTCACGTCACCAACAATGTGATGACAGTCTCTGGCTATGTTAGTTGAGTAGAGAAAGCTAAGCTCAGCAGCTGAGGAAAAGCGAACAACTGGATGTACAACATAGTCAATTCGATGTTATACTCTTCTGCCTCAATCCCAATGGTTTTGTCAATCCGTTAGAAAGTAAAACAATAGCTAATCTGTTGCACTCTGCCGGTTTGACCTGGTTCTGGTTCGGGTGGGGCTAAATGGCGCTGCAAGCCGAGTACCAGACGAGGAAATATGGATGATGCCTCCAGTTAGAGGCGAGGTGGACCGTGCTAGGTTGCTGAACAGGCTTTGAGTGCGTCAGTCCGGTAATTTCAATGATGGTGTAGTTGAAACAACAAAGCGTCTGAGAAAGAACTTCTCGACTCTCCTTTTCCCGTGACTGGTAGCTGATGCACCAACCACATCAACCCTCCAGTCTAACGAACCTGCATCGAAACTACTGTCCTGCTTAGTAACGCTGCCGAGGAAAATCGGGCTGCTGCATGCCCACTCACCCACCCTTGGCCACTTCCACTGATAACGACACCCGCTTGACGAGCGTGGCTCCTCCCTACGTCGGCTCAGAGTGGGACCCTTGAGTTGCTTTACGCGATGCACCTGAAGGACGACGCCTAGAAAGTCCTCATTCTCCAAATAGCTTCAGTTAGTGATCGAATGAAATTCTATCTTACTAGACCCATGAAATGCTTGAAGCTTAATTCCACGTCATACAGACTTCGGTGAAGTAGACCCCCATTTGAACACACTACCCGTTACTCACCAGGTGTAGATTACACTGAGAGGAAGGATCTTTCTTTAATAAAAGCACCACGAAATTGGAAATTTGTGAAAGACTTTAATCAGAGATGCAAAGAAAGATAAAATAGTGGTTATGATCATAATTGCACGGAGGGAAGAGGGGAAAGGTGAAAATGAAATGCAAGGAGAGCCCCACTACTGATGCGGGGAGGCGGCGCTAATACGGGTCAGCTCAATTTCCAGATCGGCTAGATTTTGCGCAAGATTGGTGATCTCCTCAGTGGAGCGGTGTGCGGCTTGTGCCTGCATCAGGTAGTCTGCCACCAGATCCATCTGACGCATCAGGATGACGCGAGGATTACTCTCATCGAACCCCACCACTTCCTCCTCTGCCATCTGCGCCGTTACTGAGTCCCCAGCAAAATAATCACCGCTGCGCATAGAGGAAGGCATCCATCCTGCTTCAGACGACACCACCACCTTTGAAAAAGTGTATAATCACTTCTCCATCCTTTACATGCTCTCCCAATTAATACTTCAACCAGTCACCCAATTCCAGATCAGCCCCTTCAATCATTGAATAAATTACACATTGAATGAAGCTTTATCCTTCACTTAGGTTTTACTTCTCGGATGAAATGATGCAAAACTTATGCCCCGATGCATACTACTTACGTAATCCGGTAGGAAAGATAATTTTCATCATTTGACAAATCTCTCAGGGGGATTCTTCAACACTTCCCCTTCCCTGAAATAATTATAATTTATTGAAGGAATTTAAGATGGAAGAGAAGTAGAAGTTGATCTTTCGATGGTAGGGAAGCCCCTCCTCTTGGTGAATTTCTATCCTATTCAAAAAATGTTTGTAAGCCACAATTTCTCTTCCTTTTCATTAATTTTGTCTGATAGTTTCCTCGTCGTCATCTTCACACCAGTGGTAGCCCTTACAGCAAGATAAAAGTAGCCATGCAACAGAGACACCAATGTGTACCAGTGCCACCACTCCTTCCACTTTTCATCTTCCATCCGACTTAAAAAAAAAAAAACAGGCTTGCTCAAAAAGGGACAACAGTGACATCAAAAGTGATGTCGTCGAAAATCAGACAGATGACTAGCACAATCAAGCTATCTGCTCCACAAATTACCATCGCAATTTTGACACTTCCCATTAACTTCAAAGTACCGCCTGTTTTCTCGCAATACTACATCGGATGTCAGAAATGGTTGTCTGTATTTACGCCTCCATGGCCAATATCTAGTCGTCTACGTGGCATATATTTCACTGTCATGAGTCAGAGGAGAACAGACAGGTATACCACTCACAATCCCCTCACGAAGTAGACCCAGATTCCTTCTTTCATGCCTTATTGCTGTGACCGTAACAAGGTAGACATCGGATACATCTATGCCCATCAAACGGCCGTAGCTGCTCCCAATCCATTAACACGAAGGATAGATTATGTCGGTGTGCGATTCAGTAAAGCACTTCAACTCGTGTGTGTGTGTGTGTGTGTGTACGCACGTGGGTGACTATGTAAGGTCAGCCGAAAAGCCAAAACGGAACAAATAACAAAATCATATGATCTCAGCGATCTTATGATCACCGCGTGCAAAAACTACGCAGTTTTATGAACGACTGATAAGTTTTCTCTTTGGGTAAATTAGTTCTACACCTAGTTCACGAGCATATATCACACAAAGAAAGGTGATGTTAGCACAAATAAAGTTCGCGCTGGTAAATATTAGTGGCTCTTTAAAGGCCTACAACAGACCGATGACGTTGGGCGAAACATCCTCAACGCCTCTGTAGCTAAATTTAGGAAAAGACAAAAAGAAATGGGAATACATAGCAAATATTAGTGTTAACTAAGTCAGTGCGTTGGAAACCAATTACAATGGAAAATAGTCAAGCAGTCGGAAAATTATTTAAATCTACCCTAGGGTGACAACAAACCCCTTCTTTGACGTGGATGCAATTTCTCCGATCTCTTTATCACGCCATCTTTCTTCTTTGAAATAACCGCTGACTAGATAAATAGGTGGAGAATAGATAGATGGAACAAAAAAATTAACTTTTAAATAAATATAAATTACCACTATTCAGTGGAATTCCAGATATCCGCCGTGGCGCCACCAATCGAAACCACTTAACACCTTGCTTTGGTGCTACTGACAGTCCTTCCACATCCCCACCTTTGGGTAGGGCAGGATGTCAACTCACAGATAGTAGCTAAGATTTTTCAATATTTCCAGCCTAACTGGCCACACTGCATCTCAAAACACAACGATTGAGGGCACTCCTCCCTTCCACCTTGATAAAGATGAAAAGAGCAATTGCAAAATAAACTGTCATTTCACTGCTCCTCCCATCTGGGTAAATCACGTCTTTCGAGGTAAAAAGTGAACCACATTTAGAGATCGGACTTCGAAGAGTTTCGGGTGCTGTGTAGATACTAATATGCTCCTAGACCGAGGTAAGTGATACTGAAAGCCACCACTTTGACGCATTTGAAGAACGAATTTGTAGTAATGATAGTGGCACTCACCTCCTGCCGTTTGGACTCCAACTCAGTGGCGCGTTTCTGTGCCAATCGCCGGTGCTCCATCTCACTAGGGAGGACCCGCAATGAGGGTAGGTTGTTCTGCACAAAGCGCCGCGCGAACTGTCCTACCGTGCGGTTTAGGCGGGCCTGCGTGGCCGCTGATCTGCTCAATGAGACGTCCAGACTGGCGATCGCCTTCCTGAGGAAAATTGATGGAGTATTACGAAGGGACTCATCTTACCCTATCTCGTCAATCTTTCGCAGACTCTGAAGCAACTCCAAACGCAGAGACTTGGCAATCTCTAGGATATACTTCTCTTCACCCGAACTAATGGCGAAGTTAAAGTGAATGGTTAAGGGGTGAACAGCCTTACTTTAAACTGTTCGCCATCGAGGAGAACAAAGGCATCTTTTCAGTCACCTTCGCCATCTCTTGTTTCAGCGCCTAGCAAAAGTCCCAAATCGAGATTCTACTAACCTGAAACTCCTCAAAACCCAGCGGTGTTGCACTGCTCTCCTCAATCTGCTGCATCTTCTCTTCCAAAACCGACTTACATACCTCGCAAATACGCAATTTAGGAACTACAAGTGGGTGATAAGACAAAACTGTGGGCTACTCTCTTCTCTCCGCTTTGGAACGGCACTGTCCAGACTGGTTACAGACGTCGCTCTCGAAAAGAAGGGAGGCATGTGCTTGAGGGTTCCTCCTTCGTTAGGCTGAAGATTATCCACGGGAACGGTCTTGCTTCTTAAAGTATCACTACAAGCCCAATTGCAGGCTTCCATGACATGCGAAATCTCCTCTTTAGAGAGGAAGAAGGAGCAGTCTGCACAGATTATATGACCACACAGACGGCAGTGGTGCATCCGACGGTAGACAGGGTCATTATCGATGAGTGTGGCGACAAATCTGGAGGCTATGTGCAGACTCTTGCGGGCCCGACGGGAAAGAGAGGCAGGAGCAGAGACGAGGAGAGAATGGGAGGTAATGGGAGACGTTGAATCGTCGGGAATAGAGTCTTTTGACCAACTAAGACCAAAGGAAGCACCACAGCGGGGACAAAGGTTGACTTTAGCCTCAATCCATGGCACTATGCTTTGTTCAAGAGCTTAAGAGGAAGCAAATTAACGGGAAAGGATTGTTTTACCATGACGTTGGGACGTCTCTAGATTGTCAGGAATGTTTGAGAGTTTCTCTAATCTAATCAGAAGAAGGTTTGTTTCCAGAGCAGTTCGATCGACATGAGCTTGGCGCAGTTTGTCGAAATCAGATGTAAGACTACGGATTTTTCCTAAAATGTACGGTTGTAATTGTAAAAACTATCAACTTAGGACAGTCCTGATAAACAGATTCGCCTTACTTAAAATATGCATTAGCCTAG